TCGAATTAGGCCTTGTGTTAAGGGTCCAATTGTTTTAAGTTAGCTTGTACCCTAAGTTAGCTTGTAATGGATAATTGTTAAAAATCTCATTAGTTTAGTATGTTAGTTTTTATTATAAATAGCATACTAGTCTCTCATCTTAAGTGTGGCAAATCCTAATTAGGGTGAGAGGGTTATCTATTATTCTTGAGTACTTGTAATCTAGTTTGAAGAGAAAGTAAAGAATAGAAATTATAACCAATCCTTGTTGTTCTTATTCTTGTTTTTTCATTAACTCTAACCCTTGTGTGTTTCTTGATCATAAAGAAACTGTTCATACTTTGTTTTAAGACATCGTTTTTTATAACAAATTCATTATACCTTGGACAATTTTTTTGGATATTAACATTCAAAACAAATATGAGGCTTCAATATAGACCTTTGTGCTCTATTGTCAATATTGTAAAAGAGTTTTCAAAGTGGATTTTAAAAGTTGGAGATCGAAACAAAGAGTGTTAGAGTGGCTGAAATGAAATACCAGATGACTTGATAATCAAAAATATAAGTGACTGTATTGCTTCAATTGTTTATACAACATATCAATCACTTTTGGAGAATATATACAATTTTTAGTTTTTTGGAGTAAGACAATTTTTTAGCACATACGAATGATATTGTTGATACATTGAACAATTATATTATGACTTTGATCCCCAGAGAAGAAAATAGACATTTATATGTTGATAGTTCGTGTGCAATTGGTGGAAACGATAATAATCCTAATGATATTCATACTTCTTAATTTCTTACCACGGGTTAAGACCCAAAATCGGTGTTCGAGTTATGTTATTGAGAAATACTAATCAACATTCAGAATTATGTAATGGTACTTGGCTTATAACACATGTGGAAAATTATGTGTTTGAGACACATTTCATATTACAAATTAGTGTTGCACAAAAGATTTATATTCAGAGATTGTCATTTACTCTATTTGACCTTAAAATTTCATTCACATTTTAACTTAAACAATTTTCTACTACTATCTCATTTGTGATTGACTGTTAAAAAGAGTTAAGGTCAATTTCTTAAAGATGTTGGTATATATCTTTTAAAATATTTATTTTCACATGGTTAATTATATGTTGGTGTTTGACGCGTTAATTCGCATGCTAAATTGAAGGTGCATATGTAATGATGAAGGTAATGTCTCCAATAAAACTTAGTATATAGTAATATATTTTACAAAAAAAAACTCTTTTAAATTTGAGATATGTAATTATATATAAATATGAATATCTATTATGATGTTCTTTTGAATTTATTGCACAATTATGAAATAACACTTAAATTTATATTTTATTCTTCAACCATGTTATGCAATATGATAATTTTTTACTCAAATAACCATGTTTTATTTTTTTTAAATCCCAAAATAACTCACTTTTTAAATAATTTTTCATTTCAACACCACACCACACCTCTTATCATAATCTTTTTTTTCTTATTATTAGTAGCTCTATCATGATCGTTAAAAGAAATGGTCATGTAATTTATTCTGCAATGAAGCGTTCGATGAAAGTTCTTTTTTGGAATCTCCAAAATTTCGAACATTTGAAAGGAGTTTGAAATGTTGGTTAGACAGAGAGATTAATGGTGGGGAAAAAATAGAAGTATCGAGAGAGTTGTCTCTTAATCTCAATTGTAGATGAAAACAATGATATGTAACTAATGTGGGTGCGAGTTAGAGATGAAAGTGATGTTAGGAATATGATGTATGCATCAAATATATTTGTTCTGGCCTGGGCCACGGCTTGGCCAGGCAATCCCAGCCCAATAATATTTTAACAAGCTCAGTCCAGCTTGGGCCGAAGCCTTCGAGCACAAGGTCCCTGACGAACAGGTAATGCCCCTCCGCGGGCAGAACCTACCTCATCTGTGTCGAGCACAAGACTCTCCCATCAACCAGACATTGCCCTCTCCGCGGGCAGGACCTGCCCCTCCGCGTCCAGAACCTACTCCCCTGTCGTGCAGGACAACGTGTCCTTCCCACGTTCTCCACGTGCTCCCCTCTGCGGGGACACGTCACCGACCAACTGCCCACCGCCGAAACAGCAGGTCAAACCTTCTTTCCGGAGATCACGGGACAGTTGGACTAGGGCGAAGACCACGTCCTGGTCTTCACTACGCCACGTAAGCCCTAGCAGTCACCTGGGTTGGGTCTGACTATCCAGCCCAATACAAGTGACCATTGGTCCAGTGTTGGGGTCTCCCTATAAATACCATATTTCACAAGAGGGTCAGGTAATTCACTTTTTACCCCTTTTCTGTATTTGTGATCACTCTGCCCATACGCTTATTTTAGCATCGGAGTGTCTTGCAGGTACACCCCCTTCTCTTCTTCAATACTAGTGAACAAGCAGCAAGTCGAAGACACGTGGCAGCTAGCGATCCCTTTCTGATCAGATCAGATCAATATTGTTTTAATTTGATTGATGTCATCTCTTAGATATGTTGCGGTGTTATGTCTCGAGTCTTGTATTTATTCTTTGTGTTGTTTTAAAGTGTGTTTAAGTTGGTGTGATGTTTTGTATCAACATTATTGTAACAAAAAATTATTAATGATATCAAAATCTAAGGTTACAAAAATTGAAAGGAAAAAATAAATTATGATGCAGAGGTTGCTCCGATATTTTAACAATTTTTCTTACTGTGTCAAAAATGGAAGCACTGACATGAACATGTCTTGAGTGACGTGATGTCAACCGAAGAAAAACCAACTCGTAATTATATGGTTTGGTACATATCAGTTGTATTTGAGTTTCTTGCCAAAGATATATACCTACACGATCCATGCCAACATCTAACCTCCCACAAAATTACCAGATTGGTTGCTTATAGGACTGGAAATGAGTCGAGTCGAGTCGAACTCACCTCAACTCGGCTCGACTCGTTAAGAATTGTTCGAATTCGAGTTCGAGTTCGAGTTCGACACGAACTTTTTTTTAAGCTCAAACTCGACTCGTTATAAGTTCACGAACAGTTCGGTTTGACTCGTTAGGTTCATCTCATTAGGTTCAGCTCACATGGTTCACGAACTTAAAAACTATTTTTTTAAATATATATATTTTTTAGTATATTTGACATTTTAAATAAATATATATATTTTAAATAAAATATTAAAATAAAATAAAAGTTATCATATTGATATTTAACTTTATCTTCAAAATCTGCTAATTCAAAACCTACACAACTTTCAAGAGATACATTTGAGAGTCTAATTCAAAAACTACTAAATTGAAGATTAAATTTGTCTAAGATTTGAAGTAAATATTTAAACCTAATCTTAAAGACAATATAATTCTTTTCATGTGTAATCGAGTTGACTCATGAACCTAACGAGTCGAACTATGTATAGTTCAAGTTCAGCTCATTTAGTTAACGAACTTAATTTTTCGCTCATACTCAACTCATTTGGTTCATGAACCTAGTTCAACGATTTAATTGTCGAGTCGAATTACGAACTATCTTCGAGTTGGTTTGGTTCATTGCCAGCCCTAGTTGCTTACAACCAAGTCCGTCCCAAAGGCCTTGAACCTCTAATTTCATTTGTAACATGGGATCACTATTATATTACAATCAAGTGAATTAAAAAAGAAATATGTCTTCATTACTATTGTTTCATCTTGGTTTTTGCATTTTAGCATAAAGTATTTATGGTGTGCATTTAAGATTTTTTTAATGCTATGCCATTTTTATTCTTATTTTTATCTTAATTTCTTATAGTTGTTTTTAATTCTTTAATAATAAATACAATTGTTTGATTTATTATTAGCGCATAATAAAAATAAGGTATAAGATATATTGTTTTATCGTTTCAGTACTAATTGTATTTTACTTACTTTTTTTATATACTATTAATTGTATTTTATTTATAATGAATTAATATTTAGTAAATAATTTTTATTTTTAAATAAATGAAAAGATTAAATTTAGATTTTTTAAAATTTATTTATAAATTTTCCTTGGGCCTCTATATGTATTGGGTTGGCCCTGTTCACAACCTCTTACCCAACAAAATTATCGACCAACAAACAGATAAATTTACGACCTTAACATGTCAAACACCCAACCACAAAATCAAGAACATACCCCCTACCACCGCCAACAAGATAATCGTTATCAAGACATTCAACATCGATATGCCTCCAACATATCAACCTATTTAACACCAATTACTACAGCTAAGAAGCCCAAACATCACAAAACTAAAACATGCAATAGGTATATGGCTATTGATCTAATTGACGCCTCCTCTTAATTTTTTAGCGCAATCACCTATTAGTTCGACACCAATACTTCGACACCAATACTCTGATCAATTTTTTTTTAAATGGGATAGTTAAAGTACGAATTATTTAAGAAATTTTGAAATTTTGGATTATTTAAATAAAAAAATTGAAATTTAAATATCACTAACGTAAAAATAACAATTTTTTTTCAACTTTTTAATTCTCTATTTTTAATAAATAGTAACCATCTTGATTTTCTAGTATATTTGGTCATGTCAAAAACAATTTAAATATGTAATAACTCTTATATACTACATTTATTTTATATTAATTTGTTATTGAAATAACTTATTTTCCGTTATAATTACTAGTATATATAAAGTGAAAGTAGTTAGTTTATTTGAATCAAGTACAAGATAATAATAAATACACTCATTAATATAACTTTTTTTTATCTTTATATAGTTAATTATTATTTTATTATTACATCTAAATTAGTCCCTCATAAAATGCCAACAATCTCTGCTATGATCCATCCTATAGTCCCATCTCATGTTCATGGACAGTCTTTCATCATTGACGACTCATCACTAGGAAGACTCAACAGACATAGTCACCAATTTAACTTCCCCTCAAATAAAAAACATAGTACTAGTACTACTTCATAAAATAAAAAAACTATTTTTCTTTTTTTGTTTTTGTTTGCATTATAAAATGAGAAAGTTGAAATTAACTATGAGTTTTGATCTTCTTTGACAAAGGCTCTGGTGAAGATGATACTGAAACTGTTGCTATAGCCCATGAATCATTGGAATTTTCGCAGCTAAATGACACATCCATTACACCATTTGGACTACTTGGAATTGACCCAAACTTACGTTTGTTGAATCGATTCTCATTTTCATTCTCTTCTTCATATTCTGACCATAGTTTCATCATCAGCTTCTCACATTCATCCACTTTTTCCTATAATAATTTCATATTAATTAGTATAATTAAAATTTAAAACACTAATCATAATGGCATAGAAAAATAAAACAGAAAAACTTACTTTGTTGATTCCAAGAATATTAAGAAGGTGGTTTTTGTATTCATCTCCTAAACTAGGCTCAACACTGTTGAAAACATGAATCATTGTAGCAGTTGCCAGAACAGAAGGTAGATAACTCATAAACTTTGAATCTGCCATTACATGAAAATCGATGAGAAACAAAAGATAAGAGTGATAATAGATCAAAGATAATGAAGATTGAAGAGTGAAAACTCACCTGATCTAATGACAGAGAGAACAACATTTTCACATCTATGAAGAAACTCCCAACAAAGACGATCTTTCAATCCAAGTCTTCTTATCGTATAATCTATAAAAGAAAGAGGTGTTGCTGGACTCATCTTCCACCCTAGTGTTGAAAGAACCAAAATCTCCATCTTTTTTATCGTCTTTGCTTCAAACAAGTATCTACTTTCCTCAACCTATATAACACAGTAAAAAACAACAAAATCAGAAACATGTTTGGTGTTTTTTTTTTTGCTAATAACAAGGGTTTACATGAAACATACTTGAAGATCTAGTAAAAGAGGAACTTGGGTTTCTTCAACTTTAGCAGCAAGAGAGAGACAAGCAACAGCGGAAAGCTGAGTCATCCATGGCTTCTCATTCTGAAAACGGAAGCTGAAAAGAAACCTATCGAGGTAGTTGACAGCAAGAACAGCGGTGAGAGGTGAGAACGAGTAATGAGCGTTCACTTTCAGAATCCAGTCAATGGATTCTCTACGAGAAGTTTCCAAAACAGGGTTGGTTTGGAGAAAGATGTGAAGAGGGTTTTGTTGTTCTTTGGAGAGAAGTGATTTGAGTTCTTCATCGTCCCAAAACATGTCGGTTTCTAGGAACGAAGATTGAGTAGAGTTTGTTGTTGTGTTGTTTAAGGAAACATTATCGTACTCAATTTCTAACTCATCTTGTTCCTCCCAATGTTCTTCGGAGCAGTACAAGGTATCCATGAGGAAAGTGTGAGACATGTTGGATAGATTTGAGATCTTTAGTTCAATTGAGATGCTTCCATGGAAGGAAGCATGTTGTTTATCCTTATTGAGGCAAATTGGAAATGGTATAGAGGAGATTGGGAGAAGGAGAGAGGGAGGGAGTGAGTGTGGACACAAACAAAGAGAGTGTTGTTTTATTTGTTGGTGAGTTTCCAAAAGAGAAACTAGTGTGTTTTATTGGGAGAGTGTTGTGTTAGATAGCCTCCCTAGAGGTGAATGAATCATGGGCCATGGGTCTTATTTACTCGACACGTGACTAATGTACCCTATAATTTATGGATCCCTCGTCCATTTTTGGATTTGGATTTCTTTTAACAAACAAGATGATATTCTAATCGATTTGGATCGTTCGATTTTAATTTAACGGTCGAAATTGTTTTAACTATAAATACATTGTTTTGATTTTAAGCTGTTTGATCTATGATTATGATTGAGATTAAAAATTCCATATAAATGTGTGTATTACGGATGATAAATGGATATATGTGTCTTGTTTAGCTTCATCCTGCAAAAGTTTAAAAAAATGATGTGAAGCGAGACGGAGCGGGGCACATAGAGTTGAAAGTGCATATCTAAAATTTTGATTTTCTCAGTGAAAAAATGAGGGTGGAAGGGGAAGTCATAGTTGAAGGTTTGGCTCTAACATCATGACTTAGTTTGTGGAATTTTTTTATGGGGCAGGCGTGTGGGCTTTACACCTCTAGAGACTAAAAATGACAAAAATTCTTATTACTGTTTGTGTCCGCAAAAGTCTGCATAAAAATAAAGTGGGGATATAACAAGCATATTATAGGGTGTGACTCTAAAACCTTGGTTTAGCCCTGAGAAATTGAGCATGTCCGACGAGCTAAAGGCGTTTTTTCATCCTTGGTGTGTATTGATGATTATAGTAAATAATATTTTGTTTGTCTTTATTTCTTTGGGCGCTTTTTTTTTCTACTTTAATAAATTTGAAAAAAAAATCATAAGAATTACCCATAAATGAAAGACAAATGGGTAATAAGTTGTATCCTTACTCTTTTTTTAATGAAAAAACAATCTTCTTACCAACTATGTTAATGGCTTCATGTTAAGAAGCCAAAATTATCAAATGTAAATTGTATGAAAGCATGTTCATTGTCATCACACGATTTTTCATATTTTGCCATTTTACTTAAATCAACATTTACAATTGTTTGTCCAAAAGTATAAACTTTAGTCTTCAATCCCACAAATAGAGAAACTCAATCAAGTCCACATATGCATGCTTCCCTCATATTCACATGCGCCTCCTTCGTTACAGGTGCTTTTAGCTATCGAAATATATCTAAAAGGACATCTCTAACAAATTTGTGTCGATATTTGATGCATGAAAGCTCCCTACAATGAATTGTGGGTTCCCTAAAGGTATCCAAGCATACCTTACTAAAAATAGGGCAAACCTCATCAATAAAAAATAAGTGAACCATATGGAAATATCTAAGGATATTAAGGTTTTCCGCCAATGGCATATGTTGGCTTAGCCTATCAATATCAATAGTTAGGAGAAAATGTTGAACATGTGCGACTTGAGTGGAGTATTCTTGCATTAAGTGAAGTATCAAGGGATTATCTAGATTGTATAGATAAATACAAGCACTTTTCAACTAACCTTGAGCATTTAGAGAAGTTTTGGCCGAGCAAAACTACCTTCTAGCAAGATTACTTTCAATTTATAGATTAATTGTAAGGCCTTTTACGTCAACTCCTCAAAAATAATTGATGGAATCTTGCTTTTCTTAAAGACGTGTCATCGAGAAATTTTGGACGAGCAAAGCTACCTTCTAGCAAGATTACTTTCAACTTGAAGAGGAAATAATAAAAATGCTTCAGTGAGAAAAGGAAATTGAATAACAGATGGCATATGTTTAAGAAAAGCAAGATTCCATTAAAAAATAATTTGAAGAGTTGATGCAAAAGGCCTTATAATTAATCTATAAATTGAAATTAGTCAAGGTGTGAAAGGTTTGGCTGAAAAGATGGTCTTGATATGGTTTTTCATAGCACTTAACCATGTTTAGTGCTCAAACACCTAAAATAGATTAATTGAAATTGTCTTAGAGGAATGTGTAACTTTGATTCCATGTACTTACATAATGGTAACACTTTATCACCAATGAACTAGTCGAAGACCCGTCCGTCCGCATGGGTAGATTTATTTTATATAATATACATAATTTTTTGATATATACTTGTAAAAAAGTCATTCTAAATGAGCATTTTATAATGAAAAATTATAATAACAAAATATTTCAACAAAAGATTAGTAATATGGTTAAACAAAATATAATGTATACTTGACAAGGATGTTAATGATCAGAAATAAAATAAATTAATAAAAAAATATATAACATGTGTTTCAACCAATTGTTATTATGTTCCAAGAGTTAAGATTTCGAACCTCAATCGTCAAAATAAAGTCAATGGTTTGAATGTGTGGTGCAGACTACCTAAATTCTAAAGCTTCCAACAATAAATAACTATTGAGTGAAGGTTTACAACAAAACTCTTCTATAAGAAAAAATTGAAGAGACTGCCTGTTGCCCAATCAACTTAAATCAGAACCATCTCAAACGACTTTTGCAAGAGAAGTGGCTGGTTGGCAAGCACTTTGAAGCTAAGAAGTAGCCAGTGAAAATTGGACAAGGCGGTGTTTCTTATTTAATAAGATGTACTCAATGAATTCCAAGAGTTGCAAAGAAATCTTGGGACGGTTTGGGAATCATTGTGCACGAATTGTCCATCCCCGCTGAGCAAGGGCAGCAATCACTTGAGTAGCAGCTTCTGCTGTGTCATTCAGTGGAGGGTAACACCAGCTTTCAGTTATCTGTATTTTCAAAACACAAATTAGAAAAAGGCAACATTAATTGGTGCATTTGCCTTGAACAATAAAATAAGAGCAAAAGCGTCATGGTTTGTTCATTTTGTGGTTAGAGCATTCTGAATTAAAAGACTGATTTCAATTTGAAGACATAAAAAACACAACAATTTAGGACAACTTGCAACTCACATTTTCCATCCTAGTGAACAGCCGAGTAACTCCTTGCTTATGCAAAGAGTTTTGAAAATCAGCAAACTTCCATGTACACAGTTCTGCTCCGATTACATATACAGGCTTCCTGTAGTAAAAGATATGAAGTCACGGTAGTCACAATTCCATTTTAATTAGTGTTTTAATAACAGGAGCATATACAATCAAATGGATATGTTGCTACATTATATACTACTAACAGAACTTCTATTCTGCTGCATGCATGCACAATTTTGTTTTAATGTATGAAGACTACAAATCAAATTAAAATCAAACATGTCTAAGCTACAAAGCAATGCAATATGCTAAAGACGTGTCATCGATAAATTTTGGACGAGCAAAGCTACCTTCTAGCAAGATTACTTTCAACTTGAAGAGGAAATAATAAAAAGGCTTCAGTGAGAAAAGGAAATTGAATAACAGATGGCATATCTTTAAGAAAAGCAAGATTCCATTAAAACATAATTTGAAGAGTTGATGCAAAAGGCCTTATAATTAATCTATAAATTGAAATCAGCCAAGGTGTGAAAGGTTTGGCTGAAAAGATAGTCTTGATATGGTTTTTCATAGCACTTAACCATGTTTGGTGCTCAACCACCTAAAATAGATTAATTGAAATTGCCTTAGAGGAATGCGTAACTTTGATTCCAAGTACTTACATAATGGTAACACTTTATCACCAATGAATGATGCTCTTCGATAAATATAAAGTTTATGATAACATATTGCCCCTAAAACTATCATAGGATAAGCATCTACCCATTTAGTAAAGAAGACAATAACCACATTGATTAATGTGTTCATTTTAGAGGGAGCGAGATATACATTTCCAATCATATCCATAATCCATCATTTGAAAAGCTTGAGTTTAATTATTAGATGATATAACTCAATTAATGCCATATACATTGGACTATGTAGTTGATATATTTCACATCCTATAGCATATTGGAAGTAGTTTGTCATTATATTAGGTTAATTGATAACTTACTACGTGGAAGGTATTATAGCCCTTAACACTTGATTCTACACTTTCATTCAGTAACTTATTAGGTTGATTTTAGTGCATTTTTTTGTTGTTTTTAAGTAAGTTGTAAATATCAAAATGTGTGCTCTCATTTGTGAGTTTTTATGTGTTTGTTACATGTGTAGGGATGACTTTTGATACGTCCTGGCACATCAGAGCTGGAACACCATAATACAATGGAGGTTACAAAGAGTGAATGTTCACAATGTTAAGGCATATGTGGGATCAACCATAAACTTGGAGTGCATTTGAATAAAAAAATAAAAGTGATAAGATCAAGGCGCTAGAAGGCAAAACATAGCATGATAGTACAACCACTACAACACGCAACTTGCCCCTTCTACACAACAAGTCTGCCACCGGATAATTTGTCCCTTGCATGTATTGTGTATCTCATCTGGTACTGGTACAAAAGAGAAGAAATTGAGGGAATATTCTAAATTCGATGGGCTATAGGTGATGGATAAACAAAAAGCCTATAATCTAATACCTCACGAAACCCTAGAAGAAGTTGACTATAAAATGATTTATTGGATGAAATGAAATGAATTTTAAACTAAGAGAGAGAGAAACACTTGGTAGAAATTGGTGCAAAAGTAAGTTGAACCAAAGTGGATAATTTCTCATCTCTTCGTCTTAAGTAAAAACTACCAATATCTGGTGTGAGAGAACTCGTCTCTTGTTGATTGAAGATTGCAAGAAGACGAATAAGTTACTTTTAGGTTTTCATTTATTTTTAATTATGTGTTTAATAATGTTTAGTTTAGGAACCAATATTGATGTATGCGCTGAGTTAATTATGAGCTAAACTCTTTTATGTTGATCAATGTGAAGTTAATATGAAGTAATCTTTTGTGTTATTTGTGTGGTATTAATGCCTTATTTTATCATGCATTATAT